TATCTCTTAGTATACTAGAACTAAATCATCCTAAAAAATGGAATGTTATAGGGATCACATAGATACTCCATTTAGTGATATTTAATAATATTATTTAAAATGGATAGTTTGAAGAAAATAATTGCTGAAGTAACAAAAAAAATCTAAAATTTGCATTTCCACCTCTTGCTATTTGAGTCATTGAGAGACAGGTTAGGGATATAGTGTCTACCAAGTAGTTTAACTATATGAGACTTAATCTTTTGAAAAGATTAATAATATTGCCCTAAAGAATATCTACTAATGTTTGAGTATTCCAAACCAATATCCCTTAACTCTTTTATTTTTAACTAGAGCCCCAATGCACGAAATTCAAGGGGCTGGGCCCCCAGCCACCACGGCTTCATCTGGAAGGTCATCTGGAAGGACGTACAGAAAGATGTCTGGTCTAATTAGCGTATTACACTTCTATTATCATAGATGCAGAGCAGTAGAGGTATGCTATTTACAAAGTCATTATTATTCTGATTTTTTCATCTGGGGCAATGTCTTAAGGCAGAAACGAATTGTAAAAGCCACTTGTCAGATTGTTCCTATCTGAATAAAGGAACTGCCTGAAAGAAGAGACACATCTTTAATTGCTTTATAAAGGTGATGATGCTGTTGAGATCCCCAAGTCTCTCAGTGGGGCTGTTGCCCTGTTCAACATATTTAATACATTTAAACATCCTACATTCAGAAAAGCAATTAGAGGTCATAATGAAATAGTCTGGTTTAGTTAATGTTATATACAGTATGAAGATAAATAGAAGTGATTAGGGAAGGGAAATTTGGGGCTGAAATTTGCCTCAGGGAGTAACAAAGTACTGCCATAGAAACTAGCGTTTGGCTTTCAGAATTATAAGGCTTATAGCAAAACAAGAGTCAGCTTGGAAATGAATAGCCCTGTCTCTATAATGCTCTCTCAGTTCAAATCCCCAGGCTCCACAAGCTTTTGTGCAACAAATTTAATTAGAAAAGAAAACCCATTATAAACTAACAAATGATTTACAAGGTCAGAAAACCCTTCTGTAATCTGGAATGCTACACACACTAAGATGATTCACTCTCGTTATAGTTATTTCTCTATACATTTCAGTTCTAGTTATATCTCTATACATTTTAATAAATCTATTAATTTTTACTAACGTTGCAAATCAGGAATTTGAAAAATTGGACATTATAAGAAATGTAGGATTTTAATGAGATATACATTTCTGGGTCACTTTTACTTTTTCTTGTACATATTCAAATATGTTCTCTTCCTCTAAACTGATAATAGTGAACATTTGCCTTCGCACAAGATGCAGTGGAACCCAGGCTTCCATCTAAGTAAAAGTGAGTGGAATGCACCCCCCTGCTGGGGCGGATCATCAAGTTGGTGGCTTGTCTACCTTTCCTTTGCAGATCAGAGCCAAGGAACCTAATGAACAAAACAAACTAACGAACAAATAAACTGATGAACAAAATAGGTCCAGAGGCCTGGATACATGAAACAAACGGACAGATCTCAAGGGGGAGGCAGGTGGAAGCGACTGGAAGAGATTAACCAAGTAATATATGTACATATCTGCATAGCCCTGAACACAGACAATAATGTGGTGAAGGCCTGGGAGTGGTGGTGGGGGGCGGGGGGAGGAGCTGGGTGTAGGGGAGGAAAGAGGGGAGGAATGGAGGGCATCGTAATAGTGTCTACAATAAAATGTTTAAAAAAGAGTTAGAGGCATTTTAATGATCTGTTTAGTAATATAGTAAGGATTCAATGCTAATCTATCCTGACTATGTTTTAATATTTTTTTCTAAAATATTATTATTTTAGTATTATAGATTTCCTCTGCTTTTCGCCAAGTAGAGTAAAAAGAGAAAGAGAATGTGGTCACTTAAGAACATTTGCCCTTTGAAAATGTGTTTAGATATGTAGCTAAGAGAGATTTATTCTCTCTCTTGTTTTCACCCTTTCCAGGCTTATTACTAAAAGAAATAGAAATGTGTGAAGGAAGGTTGATTCAGGCCTAGATGAGATTGGACAGGTTAAGAGACTGTGATCAAAAGCAAGGATAGGGTGATCAGATAGGACACTGATTGGTATTTGAAATGCGCTTTGAAGCCCTGGGGACCCATCGTGTTTCAGCAGAATAGCACCAGCCCTGGTGATGATGCTTTGTTTACTGATCCAACACCTTGGTCAGGTACTGCTTGTGCTGCTTGTTTGACTGAGGCTTCACAACAATCTTGGGTTAAAGGGAGACTGGACCTCATGTCACAGATTAGAAAGATTAGGCAGTTTCACAAAATTCAGTTTTTCAGGTAAAGGTGAATTAATTCAAACTCAGCTCTGTGAGGCTCAAGCTTGTGCACATCTATGATTGCTAACTTTTTTTATTTATATAAACAACTAGATATTTTTCTGTCTCAACCATTAGTAATTTAAGATTCACAACTAATCCTGTGAGTTAACTAAGGGTGGTATTGAAACACTTGGGGATTAATGTGAGGCTGTGCTGTTTTTGTAAATATCTGCATTGATGGAGCCCCTATTAAAATTAAAAATGAGATCTTAATGCCAGGTCTTTAGATTAGGATATAACTTGTATGAAACACCGATGTGACTAGGAAGAGATTAAAATAGTTATTGAGATATTGCCAAGTACAATATCTAGGATATTACAGCTTCTTGAGTCAGGAAGCATTTTTAATGCATTCAAAAGGATACTTTTTAGACTAGAAAATAGCTATGCAACCAGGTGTGCTCTTACATGTACCCTATGATTGCCAATCCCATCATTAACTAAACCAGAACTTATTTTAACACATCTGTTTAATACACCTGAGCACAAATGTGAACCCTGGTGTGTGTGTGTGTGTGTGTGTGTGTGTGCTTTTAATGACAGGATCTTCTGCATCACCAGACCATCCTATTTCTATTTTCTAATAATCTATTTTCCATAGATTGCTTCATCTGTTGTTTATCATTATTTCAAGTTCTTCAACCATCATTACATTGTGTTAATTTTTGAATACAGGGAAGATTCCTGCCTGTAATAACTTATACAAATTTCCCTAGCTATACTTTTTCAAATTGTATGATAATATGGTAGAAATACAAATATCATCTGTACTCATAAATTTTTACTTGCAAGTTTTCACTCTTTAAAAATTTTCTTTTAATATTCTTACTCTCTCCTAAGTACATAATAATATGAATGCATAAGGATTTACTACAGCTTATCTACTTGTTCTTGTCTACTTTCAATGTCTTCCTAAATTGTATTTCAAGTCTGATTTTCTCAGGCTTTTGTAAAGTTGATATCTGTGTCACCAACATAACAGTATCTGATTGATATTGGTGTGGGTGTTTACATGGTGTGGATGTTTACAGCTCAAAGTACAGAGGGGAAATATTGTAGCCATTCATCTACTCTAACTTTAGCACAAAATTATTCAAAATATTTTATTTAAACATATATGCCCAACTTCGTTCAGATCAGTTAAAAGTGAACATATAAACCAATTTTAGAACATTGTTCTCACTACTTTATTTTTGTTTAAACTATGAATTTTGAATTCCACCTTGATTTGAATAGAATAATAAGGATCATTCTTAAAAATTTGATTAAAATTAAAAGTTTTATTTTATGATCGAATGTTACCATAAAGCTTTATGTGTAGCAGCTTAGCATCTATTCTTCATAAAGTTACAATAAAAATAGCCACTGCACCTGATTCTATATCCCATAATAAAAAAGACATCAAAGAACAAGTCATACTCTAAGTTTTTAACAAAAAGGAAATGTTGATAATTTTATTGCTGTGCATGGTAGGATTCGGTGCAGTTGATCATAATACTTAGAATGGATATTAATTCAAGGTTGAACACAGTTCTTTTATTTGCTTCTCTCATTTTAGTAGCAATAAAAAGGTACTTACATTATTTCACACTTTCCACCATTTTTATAACATTTAAATTTAATGATGAGTAAATGTTGACAAATATTCTGTCATTGCATTGTGACATAATAAAGATGCATTATGGTTACACAAGAACACAAATTATGAAAAACTTTTAAACAAAGTAAATAAACTTATATACAAAGCTCTAATATAAAAAATAATACATATATACTATATCTTTGATTAATTAGCATATACAGATTAGCTGTCTAAATGTGAAATCAGTTTTAAAATGTGGTCTTGACAAAGATTTAAAAATATCAAACTAGAATGAATCCTTTTAATAAACTTGCTTATTTATGTAAATGAAATAGTTTTTCAAGTTTTATACGATTACTCAGATTCTCCTAGGTGTTTAAGTTTATCTGTGTATAGTATCAGGAACTTAACACACATGTATACTTTACTCTTACTTGGTAAGATTTAATAAATGCATAAATGAAATAATATTAAGATATTCTAGGTTTAGTGCCTTTCCCACATTAAACATTCAAAAATGTTGAGGATTTGTATTGGATGGTACGGGGGGGAAATGCTAGGAGAATATGCCAGTGCAGTGTTTAAGGTGCCTTGCACTGGCATTTTTCTTCATGTCATTATTCAGTGACAACATGTGGCTAAAGCTTGAAATAACCATGAGTATTTGCTCCAAGGAAATCAGAAAACACTATAACTCAGGTCTTATTTTTCTCTCAGAGAAATGAAACCTACAACTCTTTACCAAGAGCCTCCCAGTTTGCCTCAAAACACATTAGCATTTTAAAACTTTTATTTTGATTGAACTTATTGGGGTGACATTGGTGAATAAAACCATACTGGTTTCAACTGTGTAATTGTGTAATACATCATCTGCACACTGCAGCATGCGCTTACCACCCAGAGTCAAGACTCTTTCTGCCACCATTTATCCCCCATTCTACCTCACCCACCCTCCTTTTCCCCTCACAATCATCATACAGTTGTCTGTGTTCCCCCCATCTTAATGCTTTCACCTTTTACACCCAACCCTCCCCCCGTACCCCCAAGCCCTAATTATTTGACTGCATAGCAGAACCAAACATACATACTTATATTTGAAAGGGAAGTTCCAAATCATGAAAGCAATCAAAATTTTCATTCTCACCAGAGGCTGATGACTCTAAAGAGCTCAGGGATCCAGCTAATGACCCTGTTCCCTCAAAGGCATAGGTCTGGAGGGAGTCCAAAGGATGAGCGTAAGTATCAGTGTTAGCTTCTTCCAGCTTTTCTAGGATGAATTCCTTGATTACAGCATCATCTGGGCCAACCTGCCATGACATCCTGCACAAGCTCCTAATCTCTGCAGATCTGGTTTTCCGAGTCCGAGGTTCCCTCATGAAGGTGCTGCACCTCAGCTCTCCCACAGCAAAGGCCTCCGTATCTTCTTCTCCTGTCCCCGCATCATCATATTTGAATATATTCTCTCTGCAATCTTTACCTTTCTCAGGAAATAGAGTCTGTTTTCTTCGCTGTTGTAGATGTAGGATCATAAAAATAAAGCCTGACAAACAAAGCATACCAAAATATTAACACAATATAGCATAACATGACATATTATGATAAACTTTACAATCCTTGCTTTTGTGACAAGATCAAGACATAAGATTTTATTTTTTTATCTTAAGACAAAAAAGATATATTTGTTGTTGAAAATTTACCAAAGGGGCTTGCAGAAAGACATGGGATGGATAGCAAACTTCCTGGTTGATGATTTAGAGTAGAAAAACATCATGAAAATATAGTGAAATGTTTTTGAAGATGATCAATTTAAAACCTCCACAATTTTATTTTTTTCTTATATATTGGAAATAGAACAAAGCAGAATATGAGAACACTTTCCAATCTATTTGCATTTATCCATTTAGTAACCAAAGAGTCAGGTTAATAGAAATTAAGCAAAATAGACCAGTTTGATAGTCCCCATTGAGGCAAATTTGGTGGTATAATTATTTTCTAAGTTAATATTTACTGCCTACAAAGTGCACTGGGCATTTTTCTAAAAGCTTTTAATCTATTTACTAATTTAATTGTGAGACCCATATGTTATTCTTAATTCCCTATTAAAGTTGAGGAAATGGAAGCCTGGGGATGTTCCATAACACACTCAGTCACACATCAAGGAAACAGAAAGCTGGCACTCAAAATCAGATAGTTGGTTCAGAATCTGCAATTTGTGATACCACATTAATTTTAGAAATTCCAAACTATCAAGTCTTTTAATCATAACACTGGTATATCCACTGTCAATATTTATTAATAAGGTAATTTTAATAACATTTTAATAACATGTAGAAACGGAATGATTTCAGTACACTCTAGATTTTAAAGAAAGTGTGTGTGTGTGTGTGTGTGTGTGTGTGTGTGTAACCAATTCTTACTCAATCGTGGATCTTATGTGGCTGTTCAGAATTTCATAGATAGGACTAGAACAAAAATTGAAGCAATACCATTAACATGATCACAAAGATAAATACATTAGGTGATATTTATATAAAACTTACATTTAAAATATTGAAACACTGCTCTTGACTCAAATAAGGTCATCATGTTTAAATTTAGGTACTGCACTTTAAAACTCACCTGATCCCTGGCCAGGTGGCTCAGTTGGTTGGCATATCACCCTGTACATCAAAAGATTTGGGGTTTGGTTCCTGGTCAAGTCACATACCTAGATTGAGAGCCCGACCCCAGTTCAGGAGCATAGGGGGCAACAAATCCATATTTTGTTCTCACCTCTCTCTCTCTCTCTCTCTCTCTCTTTCTCTCTCTTCAAATCAATGAAAAGATATCCTTGGGTGAGAATTTAAAAAACCCTAAACAAACCAACCAAACAAAAACATCTCATTTGAGATATACAGTTGAAATTGAAAGGAGTCTAGTAAATAATTTCTAAAGTTATGAACTGGAGACAGTCCTCATGAAGCACTCAGAGGAAACTACCATTGGTGGACCCCACTTTCCTTCCTCTAAATATTATGCCTGTGCAGCTGCCCTTGGTTTACCTGCAGATTTTCAAGACTTGGTTTAGGTCTAATAATTCAGTACTTGCCAAAACTACACTGTTTTAACTGCTTCTTGATTCTGATGTCTAGCTATGTAGCTCTAAATTCATTTTTATGATCCAAGATCATTAAAAATAACAGGAAACACTGAAGCTATGTATAAGAGAATGTTGGATGGTAAGAGAGGATAGCATGGGTTCTGAAGCTTTGAGAAAGTTGAGGCGAGCAAAGGCAAAACAAGTCCTGAAACATATTTTATGTCAGTTGAGCCATAAGTTTGGAACAGTGGCTGTTATAATTGCTTTCAAGACTTAGGAAGGTTGTGTTGTTTTAATGTATAGTTATGAGGTATGGAGGAAAAGGGTTTAGATTATAGATACTGATAGATTATGTAAAAGCTTATGCTAAATGAATCATTTATTGTCTTGAAAGCCTGACTACATAAAACATTTAGGGGCTCATTTGCTTCATCAGTAAAATGAGTATAACTTGTCTTCTTTTGAAAACAATAATAACAACAACAAACAAGAAATAATGGAGTTATCTGACAGCAATTTCTTTTGTGTTTAGCACATTGATTAAGTAAAAGTCTCTTGTTTACATCCCTCCATGCTAACATTTACTCTCTTTTTAATACTCCAAAGCTGAGAGTGAGTTGCAGTATAGGATTGAATCGTGGTTGGTTATGGTTATGGAATCTCAAAACATCATTTAGGAGCTATGGAACCCTTTGTAAAGGGTTCCATAATACTTTGAGTTTCACTCTCTGTCTATTCAACACAGGTGATAATAGTTACTACTTCATAAGATTATTCTAAGGATCAAATTGCAATATATATGCAAAGCACTTAAGACACTCCTTGGAGTGTAATAAGCACTCAGCAGAAGCTCATCATTATTGCTACTAATTTTTACATAACTACGTATGTTGCAATGTGTGTGTGTCAAAAACGTTCCTAAACAAATGAGCACACACATACATAATCATATATTTCAAGAATTTTTGATTTTCAGCTTGAAGTGCCTATTTATCATTTTTAAAATTTACTTCACTTGACTTAAGAATTATAAGACATTCAGAAGAGGAATTAAATATGTGCACACACAAAGCCATGTTATATTGCTATCATTATAATAAAAATTATCTATTTTCTATATTTATGTTATCTTCAATAAATGAAGATATATTCAGTTAAGCACTACTTACCAAGTATTATTATCACAGCGCATATCAGAACAGCAGTCATGATCTCTGTCCTGGGTTCCATGAGTAGCATATCTTTACTGTGGCAGACCTGTATACTGCCACTGTCACCACAGTCACAGACTTGGATGGTAAGGGTGTTTGTACTTGTAAGGGATGGGATACCATTGTCAGCAATTAAGATGGATATGTAGAAGACAGGCTCTTCTTGAAGGCTGAAACCAGTTCTATTAGTCACAATTACAGCTGTGTTATCTAAAACAAAAATCCACGCACATGATTTTTTCAACAATACATAAAAAATTCATACCAGGCATATGTACTAGAGGCAATAGTATAGAAATATCTAAATAACTTTTTTCAGTTCAATTTATTACACCTATATAATATGCATTTTCCTTTTTGTTGTTGTTTTTTGTATTTCCATCTCCCAAAAAAATATTTTCTGTAGCAATCAGACAAACTTTATAAGGTAATCTATAAAACCTAAACAAATGGAAGTCTTTTGAAATGTATGCCTACTAATAATTTTTCTCAAATAATCTTTTAAAACAAATTCTCCATCTTGCTCTTGAAGTCTATAAAACCCTTTTGATTCTAGTTACCAGACAGATATAATGTGATGTAATTTACATTTTTCCAATATATAGTTTATTTGTAATCACAAACATTAAACCAAATCAATTATTTTCTTTGTTTCAATATCTATATTTTGCCCCAGTACATTGTTTTGTATTAATATAAACAAATCTAAGCTACATATTATTTCTTATGTTGATATTTGGGCTTTCTATCCTAAGTTCATTTGAGTTCCCTTCACTGGGGAATTTGACCAGGACTAAAAGGAGATAACATGTCTGCATTTATTCTTCCAACAAAAGATCCCCAAGATTAAAGATTAACCTCTGTTTTCTGGAAGAACAGCTGCCGCTATTGGTTATAGATTCTTGAATAATAAAGGCTATGGTTCATATCTTTGGGATATAAAGGAGAATTAAAACAGAAATCCATAGGATGATAAAAATATTTTACTGAAGTTAAAGAAAAAAAATAACAGAATGACTCTATAAAGTTAGTCACTTCTATATGGAAGGAAAGGAAATTTTGTCTCTCCACATGAAATCTTTTAGAACATTTTGTCCTTAAATTGATATAATCATTTCATTTTGAAGGAAAAAGAATAATATTAAACCTATTTTATATAGTTATAGCCAGAATTAATGACACCAAATATCTTTGAATTAATCGAGCTAACATGAGTACAAGTTAAGTATGTATCACTCTGATCCCCAGGCATAGATTGAAATTTGAGTTACCTGATGACATGAAAGGAACCATTCTGTCAGAACTGCAATTATATTTGCAAAGCTATTCAAACTTTTTAAGAATTTATAGCCACTCATGACTTGAAAAAGTGCTTCTAATTTCAAGAAATCCAGTAGAAAATGGAGATAGTATTTTCAGAACTTGACTTTAGGTTTTCTTTACCATTTCCATTTCCATTTCTTGCTCTATGTCTCAACATGATCAGTATGCAGTTAAAGTATAAAAAGCAATGCTGTAAGTTTGCTTAAAATAAATCACAATGCTAGGAAAATGGGTCAAAAGCCATCAAGAATGAATGTAATTACCTTGATTATCTATGATTGTAAATTTAGAGTTCTTTGTGTCTTCCACAGATAAATTAAAATAAAAATTTGGACTTTCTATGGAGTCATCTTTATCCACTGCACTGATGGTCTGAATCACCTAGGGGGAAAAAAAGTTTTGTTTTATTTTGTTTTTTATTCAGGAAAAAGATCACTGTCGTTGTTGTTATTAGATTTTTTTATTAAAATCGCTTTACCAAAATCTTTATGAACATTGCAGAGGATAACTATCAAACGGATAGAGATATTAACATATTTTCTCAGCTTAAAAATATCTTTGCTTGCCCTGATCAAAACAGTGTTTTGCTATCACATAATGAATATATTTTTGTTGATGGGCCAGATGGTTTTCATAAGCTAAGTTTGTTAGAAGATCTCAAAGCACTGTAGCTCTATGTCAAGACTCCCTCCCATTCTCCCAGCCTAGATTTCTCTCTTCCTTCTCTCCTTCTCCCTTCCCCATCTGAATGCCAGCCATTATGATTTGCTGCAATTATACATTCCCTGCTTATATTGAGAGCGTAACTGTGGAGAAGTTATTGTCTTACTAAAGTATTTGTTAAAGTAATGAGTTTGTTTAAATTTACTTCAGGAAATAGTGCATTTAAAGCTTAGGGGCAATGTACATGCTTTCCTTTGACCCATAAAGATTATAGGAAAAGTGTTCCACCTCTGATAAGTTCCTCTCTCTTGGATCATAAGAAGTGAAGTAATGCAGCTATGAACAAATCAGATCTCAAGTAATTATTTTCTTTAGACAGGGATGTGTCAGTCAAGTGGCTCCTTATTGTCAAAAAAGAAATAAAAAGATATGCTGTCAGGGTCAGATAGTGAGATTGTGATTAATTCTGGAAATCAAAAGTTCATTATATAAGTTAACAGTGTGTTTATACTCCTGAACACACAATTTCTGAGTTATTACCTTTTAATATTTTCAGAAATTACTTTTAATTATAATTTACATCTGATATTTACAGCCATATGCTTAATAACTTTGTTGTGTTTGATTTTATGTGTGCAGGTAGGTGTTTAATTATGTCTTCTTTTTTTATGAGTCATTGGAAAAGAATGATACAACCTGTACTCTACAATTCCTGTCTTATAAGGATTTAGTAAATTTAAATACAATTAGATGAGTACATGGGCAGAATTGGCCTTTGTTAAAAGTAATTTTATTAATATTAGCAGTGATAGTTAAGACTAGTGTTGTGCATTACAAGTTCTTCACATGGGGCCCATTTCCTTCTTAAGAGATTCTGAATGAGTTATAAGATGTTTGTTACATTCAGCATTGCAGAGAAACACTGTCAAAGTGTGACACTTTTAAAAAGAAATTTAAGTTATACAGAACCCACAACATAAACGCATGTGATTAACATGTCAGCAATTTATTATGAGTTCCTACCTGACCAGAGCTTGCATTTTCACAAACGTAAATCTCATAAAATTCAGGGAACTCAGGAGCATGATCATTAATATCAAGAACCTGTACATACACAGGGACTTCAGAAGTCTGTTCTTCATTATCTACAACAAACAGAATACAAATATATAATGCTGTCTTTAGGGGGCAATTTTTTAAAAAAATTAGTATGTTATAATTTCATTTGAATAAAAGCTATCTGAAGACAGGCTGTCTATATCATTCATATATTTATCAGTAATACAGAGTGGAAAAGAAGGTTATCAACATATTTAACTCAACCAATATTTATCAAGTGCCTTGTACCTGCCATAGATGTAGGAGCTGATGAGAACAAGTAATAGAGAAGACAGTTATGTAAACATCTTCCTAAAACCCAGGAAGTTTTTAAAATATTTGTATCAATTCATCTAATCATGATGAATATGTGTTATTATCCTTCCCCCAGCTCTACTGATAAAATCATTGAGAAAATGTTTAATTTTATACATTGTAGCTGAAGTAGGAAAGGCAGGTAAGAAGCCAGCATCCAGTACTCTCAATGAGGAGCATTATTCAGTACAGTTTTAAAAACAAAAACAGGACATGAACTATAATCTAAAATACATGGTAAAATAAGATAATTAAAATAATATCTAAGTATGCATACATTGAGTTGGGAGGATTTTCTTAAGTGAGCCAAGAAATACAGAAACCATGAAAGACTGGGAAGATATGGTTAAAAAAAATTTATTTAATGGCAAAAGAAATGTAAAAAAAGCCAAAACAACAACCAAACAACAGTGATCAGAAAAGGTGTTTGCATCACAAAATGAAATATTAATACCTCACATTTTCAAATCCTGACAAATGATATGAAAAAGACAATTCATTCCCAAACCACAAATTCACAGATGAGAGAATTCAAATGATTCATACCAAGGTTTCTTAACTTCATCAATATTGATATTTTAGACTAGATAATTATTTGTTTTGAGGGGTTATCTGTACATTGTAGGATGCATAGCTTCATTTTTTAGTTTCTATTAAATGCTAGTCATGATCCCCACATGGGTTGTGATAATTAAAACTGTCCTCAGACATTGTCAAATGTCCTAAGAGGAAAAAGAGCCCACCGTTAAGAGATGCTGCTCTCTAATACAGTATTCACAAAGATTTTTTCTCACCAGAAGTAAGGAGAATGATTATTTGGTCCATGTAATTTATGTTAAATGTGCAAAACAGACCCAGTGATGGGGAAGTAATGAGAAATAATGGGATGTACCCATGTTCTAGAATGTCATCTGGCAATAGATAGTGAAAGTTAAATGACACATAATTAGCTTGGGCACTGTCACCGGAAAGGGACTGGGACAAAGGTGAGTCTACCTAAGTTCGATCTGGAATGTGTGGGTCCTTGACTTCATGCAGGACATGAGTGATTTTGAGAGTGCCTTCATTAAAGCTGGGGAAACTGAAATTAAGAAAGGGCTTACAATAGAAGAGGCAAGATCCCAGCAATAGGAGTGAGCCTAGGCAGAGCTGCCTTGGCCCTTTGGAAAGGGAGGGAGTTTAGACTAGCCTAGACATGACTGTGTTGGCCCTTTAGAAAGAAAGTCAAAAGGGCAGAAGAAGTGACCCAGCCGGGCTGCATGGACTCAGGAAAAACAAGCTACAGAGGCAAAAGTAGTGCCCTTTGAGAGAGCTTCAAGGGGTTAGTCCAGGACAAGCTGCTGCTGCCCACTGCTTTCCTGGTTGCAATTCTCCTGGGAACCTTTACTGCTTAGGAGAAAAAAAGCAAAGTTGCCCACCTGAGGAAAGAAGGAGTGGGGGGAGGAAGGGATGGTGTGCTCAAGGGAGAGAGAGTGCACTGGGTTCTTTGTCCTAAGAGTTTTTATCTGTTTTTTAAAGGTGGGGATTTTATGGGAGTTCTTAGGGGAGAATCTAAATAAAATATTCATTGACTTTCCAGGTGTGTCTTTTAATATGCTGATTCATCCAGAGGAGCATATAGAGGGTTCATGGTCATTCTCTGGTCAGTTTCACCTTCAAAGAATGTCACCAAAGAGGGACCAGATGAGACAGTGTTGCCCCACCAGGGTCTGGAATGTGTAAACCATTTGCTCCTGTGTCCTTGGCTAGGGAAGATAAAAGCTTGTGACTTATTATCTGGCTGTAAATTGCTCAGCCTCACAGCGGGTCTCAATCTGTGGGTCACGAACAATGAAAATACATCCTTCATATCAGATATTTACATTACGATTCATAACAGTAGCAAACTACAGTTATGAAGTAGTAATTAAAATAATCTTATGGTTGGGGGTCACCACAACATGAGGACTGTATTAAAGGGTTAGGAAGGTTGAGAACCACTGTAAACTATCTGTCTTAGTTTCCCCATTCCACTTGCCAAGGAATTTTTCTAGCTTCTTCTTATCCTGCCTCAGCAACAGTATATAAGACTATAAGATTCAATTAATTTATTCCAGAATTGTTTGCATCATACCGAAATAACAAAATAGTCCAAATGTATATCAAAAGGGAATTGGCAAATTAAGTTATAACCATACTATGAAATTATGTGTGCTTATTAAAAATGAAAGAGTCATTGTAACAAATGTATTAATATAATGAGCTTTAAAATGGATTTTAATCTTGGTTCTCAACTTGAAAAAAATATTTAAGTACTGTTTATTTCAGTTGTTTCTCAGTAAAATGCAAATGATACTAGTAACTACTAACAGAACTTTATTTATTTAATAAGTATTAAATAAATTAATGCATATAAAGCATTTATAAGATCACTTAGCATATAAAGAAGCAATAAATATCAAATATTATGTTATTTATCTACTAACCAGAAGTGATATACATGATATTTTGTGAATTGCAAATTGCAGCATAATATGTTCTATATTTGTATAACATTATTTTAAATCTTTCCTCTTTTTATTTAAAAATGCTGTGGAAAAGGTACATAAACTAAAGAATAGGAGGAGTAAGGTTCCTTTGTTTATCAATGTTTCTATATAACTTACAAGCTCATTTGTTCATGGAAAAACATTATATTTAAAATTTTAATCTCAATGCAGACATTTTTTAATCTTTATTGTTGAGAATATTACAGATGTCTCCCATTTTTTCCTCCATTGCCTCCCTCCATCCAGTTCCTGACACACCCCAGGCCTTCACCTCACTACTGTCTGTGTCCATAGATTATGCATATATGCAGATACTTTTTTGGTTAAACTCTGCTCACCCCCTCTCCTCCCCTCCCTTTGAGCTCCATCAGTCTGTTTGTTGCATGCTTCCATGCCTCTGGAACTATTATGTTCCTCTGTTTATTTTGTTCTTCAGATTCCACATATGAGTGAGATCATGTGATACTTGTCTTTCTCTGATCGGCTTGTTTTGCTTAGCATAATACTCTCCAGGCCCCTCCATGCTGTCTCAAAGGGTAAGAAATCTTTCTTTTTTTACAACTGCATAGTATTCCATTGTATAAATGTCCCATAGCTTTTTTATCCACTCACCTACTGATGGGCACTTGGGCTATTTCTTAGATATTGTAAATAGCACTGCTATGAACATAGGGGTGCATATATTCTTTCTGATTGGTGTTTCAGGGTTCTTAAGATATATTACTAAAAGTGGGATCACTATGAAATGTCAGTTTTGTTTTTAATTTGTTGAGGAAACTCCATACTATTCTCCATACTATTCTTCCACCAGCAATGTACCAGGGTTCCCATTTCTCCAAATCCTTGCCAATACTTGTTGATTTATTGATGGTAGCCAATGCAAAAGCAACCATTCCTCAAAATGCAAAGGGAACCCACTGTAGAGGAGAACATAATTATCAATGAGGCATAGGACAAGGTGTTAATTTCCAAAATATATAAAGACTCATACAACTCAACAAAAGGAAGACAAATAGTCTGATTTAAAATGGACAAAGGACATAAATAGACACTTCTCCAAAGAGGACGTACAGATGGCCAATAGTCATATGAAAAAAAGCTCAAAGTCACTAATCATCAGAAAGATGCAAAGACAATTTTTTTTAAAAGAGACAATTCTCTCTTTTGAAAATAAGGGAAAAGACTGTCCCTCCTTCCTCATAGAACATTTATCCTAGAAAACTTATAATGGTAATGCCTCTGCTTCTTTAAAATATATGTAAGCCTTTTAAAAGTTAAAGAGCCTTAGCTGGTATGGGTCAGTGAATAGAACGTCAGCCTGCTTACTTAAGTGCCCCAGGTTCAATTCCAGGCAAGGGCACATACCTGGGTTGCAGGCTCCGGGTGCGTGCGAAAGGCAACTAATCAAGGTGTCTCTCTCACATCAATGTTTCTTTCTCTGTATCTCTCCCCCTCCTTTCAATCTCTCTAAAAATAACGAAAAAATACACGTACATACATAAAATAAAAGTTAAAGAAACCTCTTGCCAACTTTCCAATCCAGGTTTGTATTTCTCAAGTATTGGGAGCCAACTCTTTGGAATGTAATTTCAAGCAGGAAGCACTGCTTCCTTCCAGTTTCTGGGTAGGAGGCAAAGTTTAGCAAAGGCCTTGACCCAAGTTGCAAACTACCTCTTGTCATCCAGGAATGAGAAGCTTAATTTTCATTTGGATAAAGTAAATTAGCTAACACAGATGGTCACTCTAACTACTTAGTGAATTTTAAATAACTATGTGTGACACCTGATGTGAAGTCCTCCTAATTGTTATTTTGAGAACATGCTTGCAATGGGCTATATCTGCCTGGGTGTATAAAGGGTTAGATTTCTTTCTGTCTTGGCAATTAGTGGATTTACTTTAAGGGGCATCACATTCTGGTCAATTATAAGACTGATCAATGACTGTTTTCCCTCTATTCCACTGTTGTAGACCTCCCTTGCTGTGTTGGGATGAGATTTTGAAAAACTCATGGCTTTAAGGAAATACATAAACCATTAAGAGTTATTTTAAGACTCTTATCTATTGTTTTATAATCATGATAAATGGATAAAATAAAACATTAAAATATTTTAAAAGTATTTCTAGAGATTTCAAGATAGAATGACTCAAAATTTAAGGCTCATCTTTTAATGGTTTAAACATATAATATATCACCATAGAATAACTTTTTGCTTAAATAAACTAGAAAAAGTATTGCAGGCACAAATAAATTTAAGAAAAATTAGTAAGAAATTCATTTAAATATTGTATTCTTTTTTTCTGAAAAAAATCTGTTTAAAATTAAGTTCAAATTAAACCTCTGACATGACTATATAAAACATACATATATCTTCACAGCTTCATTTTAAAGTAATTAGTATTTTTATTCACTTAGCTGGCATGCTGAGAAATAGCTTGTTGCTTCACTTGGGAAGTTTTCCAGGAACCAGACTAAGCACAGTGAACTTCATTTGCTGATAAAACAAATGTTACAAGGCAACATCTCTTTCCTACAAACAACAGACCTGTTGTGTTGCAAGCTTCTAGGTAGTGAACACATACAACGGGTTTTTTTATAGCACTTTTTATGGGATGCCCTGTTTTCCATGATTCAGGAAGTTTGTTTATATTATTACTGAACTTAAATTGTGAAATGAGTTATAAGCTATACTAGGAATGAGCAGGCATTGTTAATTGAAAATAATAAAAATATACATGTATGAATTGACATACAAAATATCACTAAACTTTATTCCCAATAACATTTTAAACTAGTTTTTGTTGCTATGTTCAGAAGTTATTGCATGGTTTAAAAAGTATGGTTCTCAAATGAGTACTTACATAGTTCTCTGGCTGTAATGCTGAGGTTGCACCAAGCATTCATCTCTCGGTCAAGGGGGTAAGTTGTGATGATGGTGCCATTGTCATCAATGTGGAATGTGTTGCTTTTGGTAATAGAATACCTGAACCAAAAAAAAGTTCCTCAATTTTATTTACTCTGTATAACAGTGGTACATAACACCTCTTTAAAAGCAACAAGACAAATTGTTAAGTGCGTGTCCACATAGATAATTAAATTCAGACCAATTTCAGAAAGGTGTATTTATATATTTAAGATCCAACTCAGAGGAAATTGGGGGGGAAAAGACTAAAACACTTAAATTGATGTATGCTCAATCTAAACTCACACTCATTTCTAAGAGAGAATTTTAATAAATGAGTAACTTGTTTAAAACGAAATGGCAAATTGCATTTATAAAGAGAAAGAAGAGAAATACAAATAAATGGGGATAAAATTAATTTTTGTGAACCTCTTTTTTAAGATTTAAAGCAAGATAAAACATATTCTCAGCCTAGACTGTTCTGAGTCTCTTTCCAACACCACATAATTGCTTGTTAAATCTGAGCATCACATTATAATTACTTGATAGCTGACCTATGGGAAATTGCTTGTTTTTGTTTGCTGAAATAAAACAATTTAATAATATTTAATAAATAAAGCATATATATAGGGATGGGCAAAAGTAGATTGATGGTTGTCCATATGGAAAGTAATACAATACTTAATAAATTATAATAAAAGAATAAACTTTTGCATATTCACAACTGTAAATCAACTTTTAAAATTCATGATATGATAAAAGTGGCATATCAAATCTCTGTGGAAAGTTAAACTAGGTTTTTAATAATAAATGGTGCTGGTATTATAGGAATAGCCATTAGAAAGTGATAAACTTAGATCCATACCTTCAGCCTTCCATTAGAATAAAGTTCAAAGGATACCCAGGAATCCTATACCCAGATTACAACATTTTTGGACTTGTCTGCCTTCCCTTATGATTAGTGTCAGATTATAGTTTGGCAGGAATACCACACAAGTGAGATAATCTCTCTCTCTCTCTCTCTCTCTCTATATATATATATATATAGAGAGAGAGAGATATACAGATATACAGATATATACATATATACATATATACATACATACATACATACATACATACATATATACATATATACATATAGATAGGTATAGATATCCCAGGAGTAAGGTTAGTAGATCTAATGTGCTATTAGATCATACATAGAAAGAAGACAGATCATAAAATTCTCTCATGCAAAAGCCTGGAAATTGATCTCCAAATCCACAATGAAAGAAATCTTTGAAGTACTCAGAAAAAGTTTACCTGCCTGCAAATGATTAATAATAAAAATTAAAAAAGAGTAATGACTAGGGTTTGGTGATGGCTTCTCATTGCACAGATATTCCAGATGACTCTGATGAAACATCAATGAGGTTTGCCAAAAATCATGTGGCAAAAGATCAGCAAATTTTAATCTTGAATTGATAGGTCTCTAAAAATATCAATGATTTTTAGCTTGGTGTTCCAGGAAGAATTAGAATCGGAATTACAGAGAACTAAGCTTTAGAGGAATTCAGTTTTAACTCTACTCACTTTTAAACCTTTATAATCAATTTACTTACAGACCCACAGATGGTCACATTTCCTACTTAAGAGATTTGTTGACTAATGAAACATTAGTTTAACAGTTAATATGTTGTTTTAAACATCTAAAATATCCTTTTCTACAATACACCATTTGAAATAAAACCAATCAAATGTTAGAGATTATTTCCAAATTAAAGTTTTTAAAAATTATGATCCTGAGTCAACATTAACATTTTAAGGAACAATCAATAAACACATTTAAGAAAGAGCACATGTTCTGCAATCTATATATATAAAAGGCTAATATGCAAAGTGTCCCCTCGGGAGTTCGACTGGGAGACCAGAAATTCGATTGCTCACTGTGACATGTGCTGACCACCAGGGGCTAGCGCGAAATGAAGGAAGGCCCTGGCTGGCAGCCGGAAGGCCCCAATCAGCCCTGATCTCTGGCCAGGCCTAGGGACCCTACCTATGCATGAATCTCGTGCACTGGGCCTCTAATATATTTCATAAAAAGCCTGGGCTAAAAAGCTTAAACAGTAGAGTTTTGATGCTTAGAAAATTAATCTTTGGTTCACTTCAAATGTCCTTTCATGGACTCTTCATTCTAATATATACAATGAGATACAACTCAGCCATAAGACTAGATTAAATACTGTCATTTGCAAAAGCATGAAAGAATCTAGAGAATATCATGCTAAGCAAAATAAGTCAGACAGAAAAAAAATAAAAAACACATGATTTAACTCATATATAGGATATAAAACTGAAAGCAACAAATGCACAAACAAGAAAAACAAACAAAACTCATAGACACAGACAACAGTATGATGGTCACCAGAGAGAAGAGGGAATGGGGGAAGCAAAGAGTAAAGGGGGGTATAATGTGACAGAAGATTGGGTGGTGGGCATACAATGCAATATGAAGATTATGTATCATAGAAACGTACACTTGAAACCTATATAATATTATTAACCAACATCACACTAATAAATTTATTTTTACAAAGCTAAATGATTAAAATCTGACTGTGCAATGTTTTCTCATTGTTAATGGCTCTTTAAGGCATGATATAAACAAATGATTCTTCCAGGCTTTCTCCTCCAGATGCCTTTATATCTTGTTCTTAATGTTTGTGCGATTACAAAAGTTCTATCCCCACTTCACAGAAGAAACTGAGACATGTGAAAGCCAAGTCTCTATACATTTAACTTTGTTTTCATGATATATTTTGAACATTTGCTAAACCACATAGAAAAAACAACATTTGTGAAAGCAATATATGAAAAGCAATCTTATTTATAAGATACTTAGAAATCTTCGTCTAGAAAAGGCATTGAAAGATATTTTTAATAGGTGCTCACAAACTATTTTTAAAGGTAATTAATTTTGATGTAAAAATAACAATTGTTACTAAATATATATTGTAGAAAATAAGGTAAATAACCACCAGAAGTGATACTATAAAATACATTACCTCTGTAATAGGGTGTGTCTCATATATGCCTAACATTTTCACTAGTAGTAAACACACAACTCTAATAATTTTGTATTATCTTTTAAAATCATGCCATTGTTTTTTATCGACGTTCACAGTCATTGTAAATCATTCATCATTCATTGCCTTATTTGCATCACTAAAATTCAATATTTAAATTGTTTTCAACAAGTTTCTGTAAATTATAACATAATGAAGAACTTAATAATTAAAGCATTTTTTAAAAAATTAGTCTTAAGTATTCTAAGGGAGAACAATAAATAGGTTAATATATCTACTACTTTAAAATCTAAACAATTGATATACTGGGTTATAATTATATATATAACATATATATATATATATATATATATATATATATATATATATATATATATAAAAGGCTAAGCAACTGGCCGACTGGCCAACCGACCGGTAGGTATGATGCGCACTGACCAGTAGGGGGCATACACTCAATGCAGGAGCTGCCAAGTGACAGCAACTTTGCAGAGTGCCCTCTTGCACTTCGGGACCCCTTGGGGGATGTCAGACTGCTGGTTTCAGCCCAATCCCCACAGGCCAGGCTGAGGGACCCCACCTGCTGGAGGGACCCCGCTCACTCAGATGCCTTTGGAGCCCCAGTGCCACCCCAGGTGCAGCTGGCTGGGGAACGACCATGGGAGGTTGGCTCCAGGGCGTGTCTGGCCCTGCTCACCCAGTCAGGCCCCACCGGCCACCTTCTAATTAATTTCCTTTCAATGGGCATGAATCTGTGCACTAGGCCTCTAATAGAAATATTTTTCCTAAAATTACTATAACTAAATAGGAACGATATCTACAAATTAGGAGATGGTTTTTATTAGTAATTACTGTGGAAAACTGTGAGCATTGCTCTGTCTCACAAATGCAAAGAGGTTCCTTCTCCTCTCTGTAGCCTCCCCCACACTCCAAAACACATAGCAGAGCCAGCATTGTCATACATACAGGGAAGTTTGTAGAATTTTCTGAATGTGGAAAATAGATAATTAAGGGAACATGTAACAGATTTTGCTTTTATATCTAACCAGGCCTATGATTTGAATACTGAAAAAAGTAAAGAAGAAAATTGAGTACATGAATGTAACAGACTAGTTTAATAGTGGCAAGTACAGTTTAAATGTAACACAGATATTTATTTCTAACCAATTAGACTTAATTTTTATTCCTTTAAGTGGTATCCTATAAAAAGCTTTGTACATTTTTTTAAAAATATATCTTTATTTATTTCAGAGAGGAAGGGAGAGGGAAAGAGAGATAGAAACATCACTGATGCACTGATGAGAGAGAATCATTGATTGGCTGCCTTCTGCACGTCCCCTACTAAGGATCAAGCCCGCAACCTAGGCATGTGCCCTTGACCAGAATCGAACTTGGGACCCTTCAGTCCCCAGGCTGATGCTCTATCCACTGAGCCAAACCAGCTAGGGGACTTTCTACATTTTTGAATATTATTTTATTTAAATAATATTTAAATACACCACATTTGGATCAACTTTGTTTCTTCTTTGCTAGGGCACCATCACCTCCTTACCCCACTTAATGGAGTTGGTTGCATCCAATTTTAGATGGTGACTGCCTATTTCTTGCATGTTTGCAATTACTTATTTTACTGCTTTTTAACCAATAATGAGGTCACCTATTATAAATTGTCTAAATTGTTGCTAAATTTGATAAGTACTATGCAGAGAAATATAGACATATCCTTGTTACATTCACATCTTATATTTAAGCCAATCTGTGTTCATTCATTCATTACTGCAAAGTTGGCCTTCCAGACATACCTGACAGGACTTCTGTTGTCATCTGGATCTATGGCAGAGACCACGCCCACCGATGATCCCTGTGGGCTTCCTTCAAAGATCTCAAATATGTAATACGGAAGGAGGAAGACAGGAGGTTCATCTTCATCTTCCACCAGGACCCTAATAAAAGTGGTGGAAGCCACAGTGTGATACTTCTTGAGCTGCTCATCAACATGGCGGTTTTTAACTTTTGCTCTAATTTTATAGTAGGTCTGTTGCTCATAATCCACTTTCTACAAAGAAATACAGTGTACATAAAAAAAATGGCTTCAGTAACCCACCACATTACTTAGCAAAAGCAAGTTTCTGTTGTTACATTATCTCAGTTATAGTTAGGTTTTACTTTTTCACTCCCTTAGATTCTTCTTTTTTTAATTTTTCCTTTTTATTAAATTTATTGGGGTGACATTGATTAATAAGATTATGTAGGTTTTATGATTCATGATCTGCATATTGGTTTTACTTTTTATCTACTGGATACCTCTGATATTATTATTAAGTAGTGGCAAAGCAATCTCCTACTTGTACTTTATTATTTTTATCTATTACAAAATGTTTTGGGATAAAAACTATATTTTTTAAATTTAGGTTAAAATTACACTTTTCTGGGCAAAAGTATCTTATAAAATTAAGAATTAATTTCCTGTATTTTAAGGTCTTTTCAAAAGGTTTGTCCTCTATTTGAAATATGTTTTACATATAAATAGAAGCTCTGTAATAAGTAAATCTCATCTCTAAATACCTTTTCTTTCTAAATCATAAAGCACAGGTTATCATTTCAATTACTTAATAAAGCAAAACTAACTGCTTATACAAAATAATCATGTGTTTTTCTGATTTGATTTTGCATTATTCTGCAAAGCAAATAATTTTAATATATCTACCTTTTTCAATATAACAATTCCTTCTTGGGTCTCGTTATTAGTAATGATGTCGAATGTTTGTGATTCATCATTTTCAATGCTGTAATCCATTTCTGCATTCTTTCCTATGTCCCTATCATGTGCCATGATTGTTCCTACAGAAGTACCAATGGGTGCAGATTCGGAGACATTCATGCGGTATAAGCCTTCAAAAACAAAATTCAAGATACTTTGTATTAACATAAGACTCTTCCAATTGTAGAAAATCCCATGAACACTTTTCCACCTTTCATTTTTATAATCTGAACATTTCCTTAATAATATAATTGAGCATCTATTATTGTCCCTTAAATATATCTTAGGAAGTTCTATTACCAGTACATATAACTTTCAAATTTCTATTCATATAAATACATTCTCAATATTCATGGATTTATTTTTTATTGTACCCTTCAACCATCCCAAATTAAATTTGATAAAAAGAGCTTTTCAATTTCACTAAAGCATTCTGATACCTAAAGTTACCAATAAATGTAAGCATGAATTAAAGATGGGAGAGACTAAAAGAAAATAGTTGAGTTCTAAGTATGATGGTTTGATTTGAAGATGTTGAGCCTAGATTCCATTAAACATAGTGGAAGTGAAAAAGAAAGTTGGATCCTTAAAATTTGGAAAGTGGATATAGTGGAAAATCTGTGTTTAAATTAGATGACCCTACTGCTTTAGCCATAACAAAATAATGACAATTGTACCTGAAATGCAGAGATAATAAATAGAAATAACTGAGCTCCTTTCCTTATTTGGCAGAAGAATCTTGTATAAAACTGGAAACGAACTAGCAATTCATATATTATTATTTGTAATATATTCTTAAATGTAGGAAATAATCATATATGTTCATATTCTAAAGATTGAAACTTCTTAGAATTTAAAAAAAATAACCATGCAATGTAATTTTCTTTAAAGGGACTCTTGATCTTCTTAGAAGCATAAAGCAAGTCACTTCACACGTCACCTTGTAATACGTTCCTTTATTTTTTAAGCGACAGGAATGTTACTTAAAAGTTGCTAATATTTTACTGTGTAAGGAAATAACAGTTTAACTAAACTGCAGTTTTTATTTCATTGTGGGAAAATGAAAAGAATTGCTTATTTGATTGCACAAATTAAAAATTGCCAACAAATTAATCTGGAGAACAGAGTGACACTGCACTAAACCTGAAAGCGTATGCTTTAAACAATTTGATAATTCAACACTTTGTGCTGTTTTCCATACTTTCAAAAAATATTTTGGACAAAAAATGCTTATAAGAAGTGCAATGGATGGCAATAAAGAAAAGTAGCTTGTACAAGAGTAAGGAGGCCAGCATGCTTCTTTTTTGTAAGAATAGTCAATACATACATTTTCAAATAATTATGGTGTGGGACGGGAATAGGGAAATCATTTTGTAGAATGAGGTAACTTTATGGTATTAGTTATTAGTTACTAAACTATCATTGCGCATTAGGATTCTGGGTAACTAACAGGATTCAAAATGAGTATTTCAGTTTTTTTTTTAATAACTGATAAATATTGGTTCAAAAAACTAAAAAAAGCAGCTGAAGTTTGGAAGACTTCTCACCATGCTTCATTGAGAGCTCTCTTCCTTCTAGTCTTAAACTAGCTTTTTCACCTTTATATGAATAAAATGTAGACCAGATTTATTCAATGAATTCAGCTACCATTTCTCTATATGTATTATATGCCAATTATTTTATAAAGTTCTCAGCATTTCAGATTTACTTAGACATTATCTTCTTGCCTTTAGGGCATATTCATGTTGTGGAGAGAGTCACAACACGATACAATTCATAATGAGGAGATGAAGGTCACAAACTGCTACTCCATTGCCTACCTTCCACCTGAAGAGGAGCTTTTTATTGACTCATAAGATGTAGCACAAAGGGTGAAAAGTTGCAATGATGTAGGATGGATAAATTTTAAAAATCTAGAAATGAGTTTTAGAAATGTAGATCATGGTGATTATACTGTATTTGGTAACAGAAATTTTCTAAGAGAGTATATATCTCTCAGTTTCTTTCCACACACACACACGCACACACACACACACACACACACACACACACACACATCCACGGTGTGTGGAGATGGACAGGTTAGTTCGACTGCAGTAATGATTTCACTACGTATATATCAAAACATCATGTTGTACACCCCGAATATGTATAATTTCTATTTAAAAGAAAACGCAGTAGCTACATTTTAAAATTGGATGATAGCACAGAAATAAAAATTCAGAATTCTAATATTTTTCAAAAGTTCAAAAAATCGGTTAACCCTGGACCTGACACAAATTGGCTACACTGAGTAGTGTCTGCATCATTTAGGACTGTGTGTGTGTGTGTGTGTGTGTGTGTGTGATCTACTTTCTTTGCTTCATGCTTATCGAATTTTCCTTCTATCATGATAATTTCTCATGATTTATGGAAATGCTTGCAAATTTATTTCTGTAGCTAAGAAAGTATTCCCTGAAAAAGAAACTCCTTAGAAAATAAGTTCCTCCTAGGAATGTCATAAGAATTTCTTTCTGAAGCACACCATGTGATTTAACTTGTACTTACTACTTAATTCTCAGATCAGATGTGACCTTTTCTTGCTACAAAAATAAAAAAATAGATATACTCATTTTATTTTTTTATTTTTTTTTCCAAAACCAGTGCAGCTTTATTGGCTCAGGCGATGGACATTATCATTGTCTGGCCTGCCCTGTGCTTCCTGCCAAACCGATATACTAATTTTAAATCATTCCTGGTAGTAGGTAGGAGAATGATGCCCAAATTTATTTGTGTCATAATACCCTCAAAAACATGCAATAGGGAATTAAGGTTTTAGATGGAATTTATATTGAATTGTGGACATAATCTTGGTTTATCCAAGTGGTCCCAATGTACTCACATGTGTCCTTAAAAGTGGAAGAAGAAATAAAAGTGTGGGTCAGAGTGACGGCAGTGAGAGAAGGATATGACACCCTTTGGTGCTTCTGAGATCTGTGGCCATGCACAAAATCCAGAAAGAGGCCTCTAGGAGCTAAGCATGTCCTTTAGTTGACAGCCATTAAAGAAACAGAGACTTTTATCCTACAAACACAATAACTGAATTCTAGGAACACCCAAACGCAAGGAAATAGGTTCTGCCCTAGAGCCCACAGAAAGGATGGCAGCCCTGCAGACATTATTTTGCATGATCCTACTTGGCCTGCTGACATGCTTATTAGACATCTTTAAGATAGTAAGTCAGTGTTAAGACATGAAGTTTGTGGTGATTGGTTAGAGAAGCAATTGAAAAATAATACATTACTCATTCCTTTGTATTTTACTTCACGCTAATGAAAATAGGCATGTCTTAGAACAATTAAATTTCTTTTATATCATTGTAGTGCTGTAGAAGTGCTTTTAGAATACACACTAACACCTGCATATATTCAACATACTTATAATTACGGTATAATAAAAACTCAAGATGCTTTCTACTTACCTTTTTTAAATGTAGGGATGTTGTCATTAATATCAGAAAGTGTAATTAATACACTCGTTGTTCCAGACAGTGCTCCGGGCAGACCAATCCTGTCTTTGGCTTGAACAATTACCCAATATGAATCTTGCAGCTCTCTATCTGTTTTAGAAGATGTTCTTATAACTCCTTTAAAAGTTTGATAAACTCCAATTATTATTTTATTATTACCCATGATATATTCCTAGTTAATTTCAAGAATTCAACCATATTATCATTCTTTTGACACATTTTGAACTACTACAATGTGCCAGACACTGCTCTAGATAAAATAATAACAATAATACAAAATTAAACAACAATTCTACCTGGACTTTCATGGGCCATCACAATATTAAGGACAGTAGTAGACCCTTAATAAAATCCCATTGTATGATAACCCACAGGTAGAGAAGAAGACTGTATTATTTTTACCTCAATCTATTTTCTACTATCTTCTCTAACATAATGTTAGTGTGCTACAATTAACTTTTCCTCTTAACTTGGAATAAGTTAGGTTATTATGGGTAAATGTGTAAATTACAATACCAAATGTATGTAAAAATATTGTGCACCTGTGATGTCTATTTTGAGTCATGTTGAATAAAGAAAGATTGGTTTCTGACACTATTATTCATAATCTACCAATAGAGATGAACACACGCACAGATATTTGAACTCAAGATGAACCATGATGAATATGTTGATACATGTCCACTATCTATGAAGTCATTTAGTGAAAAAAATCATCACTGAATAAAACAGAAAAAATGTCAGCAGTTTACAGGACAGGGGAATGCAGTCCTAAAGATTTGGGGAACACGTGAAAAAATACAGGAAAGGTAATGGTCAATCCTCAAATGTGTCTGGAAAAAGGAATGCATTAAAAATTTGTGATACCAGGTTGTGTGTGTGTGTGTGTGTGTTTTAAAGAAAGATAAAATAGCTACATTGTGAGAGGATTTAACTGTGGATAGAGTATTCCACAGTTATAATCTATTATGTGAGTCAGTATGAAAACCATTGAATATATTAAATAGATGCTGCTAGTATCTACCTATATGTAACTCAAGAGAGAATTGTTTTATATCAGCAAAGGAGAATAGTATTTGAGCTTCTGATATATCCAAAGATGTAGAGATCAGTACATCAGTGAGTGAGAGGAACATAGAGGCCTTCACTCCCCATGTGGGGAGCTTCCATGAACTTTGCCTATTTTATTTTCAACTTTTCTTCTCACCTTCAGACTGAAGAAAGGATATATATTCCCAGAGCCTCTTATACACACTGAAATTTACAGTTTCATGTTTTTTGGCTCTCATCTGTCTCGCTGCCCATTCCACCTCTCCTCCTTAACTAACTTGCTCAATATATTTTTAGAAAATAGTGAGAATTGGGAACAAAGACAGTGCTTAAAATGGTCAAGAAGCCCCAATATGACCCAGCACATGTCTGTTCTTCAGGTACCTCATTTTCTACTCTCCTGCTCTGTGCTTTTCTACATTGGCTCTGGTCTAAGAGCTTCAACACTCTCCCATCTCAGGAATGTCTCTTAGATTCCATAACCTGAAATGCCCTTCCATGCCCTTCACCTACAGGCTCAGCTCTGCATTCTGGTTTCAGGGTATTCTGTCTTGACCATCCAATATAAAGTAGTCCTCACTTTCTTTCTCTTACTGGATCTTGTTTGTTTCAGTTAATAATAATATTCACAAACTGAGTGTATGTATTCATGAGTATTCAACATGTTTAATATATATTTGTAAGTTCCAAGAAAGGAATTCATGTTCTTTTTATAATTATTTAAGGGTGTAATATTATAAATATTCAGTATATTGCATAATGCCTGTTAACATAATTCACCCCTTTCAAACAAGATTGTGTGAGGGAATTAAAACCTAATGTCTTAAGTAATCCACTGCAAGTATTAAAATAGCTGTTGTCCTGTGCATCCTGAATAATAGAAGCTAGGTATCATCCTTGATAGAATTAAAAATAGAGTCACTCAAGTCATATTTTTCTGAATCTGATTCTCTCAAGAAACTCTAATTGAGAAAGAAAGGCTGAGACGTTTAATATTTGCTAATTGAGCGAATTGATAAGAAATGTTTAAAGGTCCAATAGAATGCTCTAATTCGTTTAAGCTTTTCATGTTACCAAAATGAAAATAATAATTTGCCTCTTAAAAAAATATAGTATTTTCCTTCTTTTGAAATTTGCCACATTCTTGGCAGTTAGCTACAAACTTGTTTGTTTTATTTTTGTTTCTTTATTTTCCATGTTTAGAGACTATAAGCTCTTAAAGGCAGGATTCATATGGGCTTAATCTTTGTTTTGGATATGGCAATCAATATTTTTAAAATGAATTAGTGTCATAGAACTCTTATGCACTTAATTGACATATTTAAAAGAACAGAAAAATGTCCTATTTATTTTATAAAGTATTCAATTGATTAATGGAAATTGGAAAAGCAATTTTTTTAAATATATTTTTTATTGATTTTTTACAGAGAGGAAGGGAGAGAGATAGAGAGTTAGAAACATCGATGAGAGAGAAACATCCATCAGCTGCCTCCTGCACATCTCCCACTGGGGATGTGCCCGCAACCCAAGTACATGCCCTTGACCGGAATCGAACCTGGGACCCTTCAGTCCGCAGGCCGACGCTCTATCCACCGAGCCAAACCGGTTTCGGCTGGAAAAGCAATTTTTATACTTAAATTTTTAAATATAAATAAAAATACATAAAATGCAGAAATACATCTTTGAAAGCAAATGCCTTATATCAGTTCCTACATCCAGCTGTAAATTCATGCTTAATATTAGTCATTCTGGTTGGGTTTTTGGTGTATCTCACTGTGGTTTTCATTTGCATTTCCATAAAGATTAACGAGGTGAGCATTTACACTAATAGATAAATATGTAAATTGACCATGCCTCCGCGATGCCCCACAGCCAATCAGGAGGGAATATGCAAATTAGCAGGACAAAGATGGCAGCAGCCACGGAGCCAGCCAGAGCAGGCAGGAGGCTTGGGTCACCCCCAACAACAGAGGAAGCCAAGTTTCCCGCCCATCTGGGCTGGCTGCCAAAAGGACGGTCCTGTGGACAGTGGCCACAGAGCAGGCTGGAGACAGTGGCAGGTTTGGATCGCCACCAGCAATGGAGGAAAGCTTGGCTTCCTCCGTCGCCAAGGGCAACCCAAGCTTCCTGCCTGCCCTGGATGGCTGCTGAAGGAGGGGCCTGTGGGCGGTGGCCACAGAGCTGGCCTGAGCTGCAAGAGGCTTGGGTTGCCCAAGCCGGCCACAGAGGGAGGGGCCTATAAAAGACTCTCAGCCCTTCACCCAGGGTGTGCGGGTCCTCCTGGGGCATGGCCAGCCTGAAAACGGCCCTCAGCTCCTTATCCAGGCTGGCCAAACCCCCATGGGGTGAGGGTCCCTGCTGGGGGATGTGGCCAGCCTGCAAACAGCCATCAGCCCCTCACACAGGCCGGCCATGCCCCACCAGTGTGAACCCTCACCCCATGGGGGCATGGCTGGCCTGAAAACTGTCCCAGCCCCTGGCCCAGGCTGCCCCACCCCCCAAGGGAAAGATAGATCCATGCTTTCAATGATCAGCAGGGCCGGGGTAAAAATAGGCTGCACAATGTAGCAGGAGTGCCTGCTGAGCCGGGAGAGCACCAGACCTGGCTAGGCCCCGATGTCTGGTTCCGTGAGTTGATAGAAGGAGC